AGCCTTTTGCAACTAGCCTGGCCTTGTACCTCTCAATGGTCCCATCAGCCCGATATTTAATAGTAAAGACCCACTTGCAACCAACTGGATCCTTCCCTTCWGGMAAATCAACCACTTCCCAAGTGTCATTCTTGTGTAGGGCATCAATTTCAGATCTCATTGCATCCCTCCATTCTGGAATATTAAGAGCTTCTGACACAGACCTAGGAATAGGGTTAGAGGCAATTGAAGAGAGATAGGAAAAATATGAAGGGGAAAGTAGACTATAAGAAAGGTGTTTGGAAATGCAGTGTGCAGTGCACTTCCGTTTTCCTTTCCTAACAGCAATGGGAATATGAAGGTCAGGGAAAGATGGCTCCAAAGGGGTTGAAACAGTACCTGTTGTCTCATCTGTGACTGGAAGTGCATGAGGCTCATGTGTTGTAAGGGAAACAACCTGCTCATTCCTGGATCTTTGCCTTTGATACACCTTGGGATTGAGGATAGGACGAGGAGGTAAAGAGGGAAGAACACTGGGACAGGGAGAATGAAATGACTGACCCTCCCTTGATTCATTTGAAGGAGGCGTAGACTCATCAAAAGACTCAACTGGGATAGGGAGAGGAAGAGCAAACACTTGTGATAAACCCTCCCCTTGTGGACAATGTCCTTCCAGAGAGGAACCATAAAAGGGAGAAAACTCATCAAAGGTGACATCCATTGAGACATATTGAGTGCCAGTCTTTGGATCAAAACAACAATAACCCTTCTGTGTGGGGGAATAACCAAGGAAGATACACTTGTGGGCTTTTGGTTCAAATTTATGTCTTTGGACACTTGGAACATGTACATAACAGGTGCAGCCAAAGACACAAAGAGGAATAGGAAAAAGGTCCTTGTCCGGATGAAGAAAATTGAAGGGAGACTTAAACCCTAAAACCCTGTATGGCATACGGTTTATGAGGTAGGTAGCAGTGAGGACAGCATCACCCCAAAATCTTATAGGAACATGTGAAGCAAACCAAATACTTCTTGCAACTTCAACAATATGCCTATTTTTTCTTTCAGCAAGTCCGTTCTGTTCTGGGGTCCTAACACAGGAACTTTGATGAATAACCCCCTATGTCAGAGAGATAGCAGGATAAGCTCTTCTCAAAATATTCTTTTGCATTGTCAGATCTGAAAATTTTAATCCTAGTATCAAACTGGGTTAGAACAAATTCATGGAATTGTCTTACAAGTCTTGGAACTTCATCACGAGATTTCATCAGGAATATCCAAGTGAACCGAGAAAAGTCATCAATAAACAAGATAAAATATTTGTAGCCCCCCATAGAGGGTAAGTGGTAAGGCCCCCACACATCAGAGTTCACAATATTAAAAGGAAAAGAAGATCTTTTATTGCTCAAAGGATAATTGTTTCTACAATACTTTGATAACTCACAAGATTCACAATGAAGACTAAACACACTAATTCCCTTGAACAGTTCAGAGAATAGATGACTTAAAGCAAAAAAAGACAGATGACACAACATAATTCGACTAGTATACTCTGAAGAAACAGACCCAAAAGCAACATTCCCAGGCTGATCAGAGCATTGTCCCGGAGTATCAAGCAAGTATATTCCGTTCGCCTCATGGCCACTCCCAATCACCTTCTGAGACTCCAGATCCTGAAAAACACAGTAGGAAGGAAAGAAGGTTACACAACAATTTAATGACTTGGTTAAACTACTTATAGATAATAAATTTGTATTTAGTCTAGGTACATGAAGGGCAGAAGATAGGAGCAAGGAATTTGTAGCCTTGACGGTTCCCTTGCTAGAAATAGAGGCAAGAGAACCATCGGCTAAGGTGATTTTATCACGTCTAGGAAGCAAATCATATGAAACGAACAAAGTAGAAAGGTTGGTCATATGATCAGAAGCACCTGAGTCGATAATCCAAGGGATCTTAAGATTACCTGAAGTGGTTGAATGATTAGCAGAAGCCTTATACCTGAATGAGCAAATGCAGAAGGAGCTGAATTTCCTGAAGGGTTGGAAGAAGAAGTTACACCCACGAGATGACTGATCATCTTCCCAAACTTTTCATACTTTGCTGTCATGGCTGCCAACTATGCACAAGCAGACTCAACTTCAGTATCTGGACCAGCAGCCACATTTGCACTCCCTGTCCTTCTACTATCATGTTTTTTCTGAAACCGAATAGGAACAAGATCGGGATGTAATTTCCAGCACTTGTCTTTGGTGTGCTTTGGCTTCTTGCAGTATTCACATACAACCTCTTTCTTTCCAGAGCCACTAGAAGCCCCCACAACTCCTTTGGGTTTAACCCCCATATTCGCAAAGTGATCACTAATACTAACCCCTTGAACCTGCACTTGCCTCCTACTTTCTTCACTGCTCACCAAAGCATACGCTTGTGACAATGAGACACTTTCCTTGGATAAAATATTCTGTTTTGTGATGTCATATTCTGAGTTTAGTCCGGTTAAGAACTCAAACACCCTGTTTCTTTCAACTAGTTTCCTGTAGGTCTCTGCATCATTGGTGGTGTCCCAAGTTATAGCTTCTATTAGATCAACTTCTTGCCACAGAGACTTCAGGGTTGAGAAGTATACAGCAAGGGATTTCTCCTCCTACCTTAAATTTTTCACATCACTTCTCAATTTATAGGCTCTAACCACATTTAGTTTTTGGGAATAGGTTTCTGCAACACTGTCCCAGATTTCCGTTGCTGAATTCATCCATAGATAGTGTTGGCTAATCTATGGCTGCATTAAGTTCACAAGCCACCCAATAACAGTGTAATTCTCTTGCATCCACTTCTCATAGGATGGATCATCCTCTGGGAGAGCCTTCTTGCTCCCGGAGATAAACCCCCACTTTCCTCTACTACATATATAAATCTTTACCGATTGTGATCATGCCAGATAGTTGATTCCATCCAGCTTAACTGTGGTCACAGTCAATAAAGAATCAACTGGAGTTCCTTGAACTTGTCCAAATTCAGCAACATTCTTACTCTCAATCTCTGAGGAGTCCATCATGTAAATACTTCAAATAGGGTTTCAGTCAACTTCTACTAGTGTATTGAATGAGGATGAGCTAGGACTGTGTTAAATCAGCCTCAAACACAGCAATACACAAGGCCAAACCACACCCGGAAGCTGTGAGAACCAAGCCTGGCAGCAGCACCTTGTTGTCTACACGAGACACTAAAGAAGTAATCAACAGACCTCCAAGCACTGTGCACCCAATTGAAGTACCTTTTCTAATCAGGGATTCTAGGTACTCACCAACAAGTGCCCTAAAAAAGAGCAAAAAACAGTCCATAGTGATTAAGGGGCCTTTTTACGAACACTGTGTGGGCAGCAGAGAAGACCCCACAGTCAACAAGTGAGAAACACCTCAGGAGCAGTTCGTACAGGTCCAAAAAACAACCAAACAGAAGCAAGAACTCGCACCACTGAATCCAAAGAGGTTTCGGCAGCTTAACAGTCCAAAAAAGGGAGAAAACCAACCCAAAAATCTCTAGGTTAAACCAGATTAACCACAGCCGAAAAGCTGTACAGTTTCAAGGGAACTTCGAACACTTCAACAGTCCCCAAAACAGAAATATAACTCAGGAATAATTGAGTGCAACTTACAATCTCATCAATCTCTGATTTGAGCTCCAAATCAGGAACCGAACAGTCCTTTTCTCTGATTCTTCCTGGTCACCGAACCACTATCCAAGAGATTAGAGTCTTGGGCACCTTCCAATGACCTCCAAGAATCAGGCGAACAAGCTGAAGCTTCCAGCCCTA